GGGGGGGGGGTCATGCTTTTACTCCCAACAATTTTTTTTCTCTCCATGATATTATATGAGGTTTTTTTTCCGTGGTCTCGCTGGATTACATGACTCACTCCGTCACACTATGTTAGCTGTTAGTTTGGGTCAAGCCATTGAAGTTATTTGTTTCTTCAGTCACGCGATGTTTTCTTCAGTCACGCGAAGTCGGATTTTCTTTCTTCAGTCACGCGACGTTAGATGTTTTTCTTTTAGTTCTATCGCGTATATGTCGAGTCCCATAAAAAATGTACATTTGAACGCAGATCGTGATGCTGTTATGTTACTTACAGAAAATACAGATCCACGACAACCAGCTAGGCCTCATAATCTTTCACTGTGTTGATGGACTGCCAACTTCTATTAAAATGGAAATAGGAAATTCATTTTTTAAAAAAATACGTACTGCAGAGATAAAAGGAAATAATATAGAGAAAAAAAATATTATGAAGAAACATTGTGGGTCACAGCAGTTATGAATGAATTATAACTTCTTCAAAGATTAAAGCGTCGTAATGTCGGCCGGAATCAGGAACGAATGCGATTACAGCTCGGACTCGTTAGTGGTGTGTAATTAGGGTCAATTAAAGCTTCTAGATTTATCATTTAATTTTTCTACGTATGGTTGAATCTAAACTATCGCTGATTTTGGCCAATTTTTCAAAGAAGCACTTAAATAATATTATAAAACGGGGCTCCTCTCACTTGATTATTCTAAGAACAGCAGGTCCTGTTCATAAAAGCTTCGCTGAAGAACTAAAAATATGTGCCATCTGACCTTCAATTCAGGGTAAACTCCAAAGTCAGCATCAACGAGATAAAAATTAAAGTTTTGACTCAGAAACGTTTTCTTATAGAAAAGGCAATGGCTTCATTACGAATTTCTCGCTCTGAACTTGAATTTTCTTTCAAATTAGTCAGCACGTCTATCGACTTTATTCGCTTAAAAGAATTACATACGTGCCACAGATTTAGAAAATTCAGACAATAAGATCATAAAAGCTGGATCAAAAACAATTTTTTCAAACTTACTGGATGGAAATTGGTACTCCGAAGGCGCTAATTTGTCGGACGCAACGTGAATAAAAGAATATATTTGTATAAGCGTCCGCTGTCTTTTTTTATGTCTAGTCTAGTCTAAATGAAAAAAAAGTACTGTCAATCATCTGAAGATGAAAGCCAATCAAAGAATAGAACAGTACTGAACTGAAACAATGGAACACTTCTCTCGAGTTTTAAGATTGCAGGGGAGATAGCCTAACCCATGGCAAATTAATATAATTTACCATTGACTAAAATAAATGTTTAACATAACAAAAAAAATTCCACTTACTGAGGTCAGGTGTTTTTTTTTTAACTCAAAAATTTGCAGTTTACCTTTTTCCATATGATTAAATTTGAAAAAAAAAAGGTTGATAGAAAAAAAAAAGGGATTAGTCATCAAAGCGAATCCTGAACAAACAGAGCTGAACCGTGATTCAGAGTTCCTTAGAGATCTTCAAGATGAAAGGTGGTAACTATAAGTTGAGAAACGATAAGGTAAACACGGGAACAGGTAAACAAAGAACAGTATAAGACTGTGCAGGTGGCAAGGAGAAGACC